AACCCAGCATTCTTGTGAAACATTCGCAACGCGAACTGCGGCGTTAAAACAGCAGTTAACAAACAAAACAAGTCAAAATCATTAGTATTATTGATTAAGATTATTATCATTAATCATCTTAGCGTGCCGTTTGGGATTCAAGCAATCTTTATTTGTGGATCAGGGGCTTTATGCAGTGAATCACCTAGGGAAAAGAAGGAATCTCTCGAATTTTTTTGATTTCCCAGCCATGTCTGTTAAAGGTGAGCGCCAGGCATCAATTGGTGTAAAAATAAAAATTGCTGAAACAAAGCCACTAGATTTTGGCGGATTTTCTTCGCACTCCCCGAGAGAAGGATAGCATATATCAGCAGATCCTTTCACTGAGGCGGCCCATGATTACTGCGGAACCAATGAAACAATCTTGATAAGCAGTTCTCAGAACCACTCGACAATGTTTACATTTCAGCTCTGCAATCACTCTCACCTCTTCCTGTTTACAACTGCAGTATCCTATTGCTTTGCAGTAACCATGCAGTAATCTTATCAAAAAAGCGCTATGGCTGGCTGTGCAACTTGCTAATGGCTAGCTCAGACCGCAACAAAACTAATAATAAGATTTGAGATATTACTAGTAATGTATTCATTGCTAGTGGATTAATCCGTGTTCATTGGTCCCCCAGATACGCCACACAAGCCATATCAAACACCGGTTTCTCTGTATGACTCTTAAAACCCTTAGATCTTTCGTCATACAGTGCCCGTCTGGGAGAATCGAACCTAATACATAACCCAAAAAACATGAAAATTATCAAATTACCAAGGGTGCCATTGCTTTTTACTTGGATGCTTGAAGTACTTATTCGCAAAAGGTGAGAACTCCCACATCAGCCCTCACAATCAACACCGCGCTTGCTTTATCCGAAGCCTCCCTGCAGGTGAGTTAGAATTTCGAACTTCCAAAAGATAGCAGCCCTAACTTGAGAGAAAGCATTCATCCCCAAGCGCTTGGATTGGATTTGACAGCTTTGCACTAGTTGGGAAAGTGGCAGCAAATTCATTAGTGTGATTGTGTAGGCACATATTTCCTTGGAGGAACAAGTCTAAAGCCTAAAAAGGCTTTTCTATTGATAATCTAAAGTTGCAAGACAATCGTGTGAGTTTTAGAGTGGATTTGGACAGTTAACGGCTTCGTATCGCTGGTAAAAGTGCACAAACTGAACAATCGCAGGTTTTTACCACTTTGACTAACAAATTTCCAACCTTGTGTTAAAACTACGGCCTATAACTTCTTTCCGTTCTTCCCATGATTGTTTATTTTCTTTCTTCAGTCCACTCATGGGCATGAACTTCTCTTTAGTAGGCTCTTCTAGCTCTTGTTGTAGGATCGCGGTCATGACCCTAGTTGCACTGGCCCATTAGTTCCACTGAAGGGAAGGGAAGGAGAGCCTTGGCCATTTTGGCCAGTCTGTCAACATTTTACGTATTAACCTTCTTTTGCAGCAGCAGAAATCTTCCTCGCAGAAACGAACAACATTTCGTGCCGAATACAGATTATTAAAATTCCAGACCAACGGATGTCATGCAATCATACCACAACTTGCAGGCATTCCAAACAACAATTTCTCGCCGATATTTTAATTTTCTTCGGCCCGTGATGACACCATTATTTCGCTCAACGGCTGTGACCACAAAGAGCGGAGTAAGATAAGCGCCGATGAGCTGACAACAATTGGGACGCCCTTTTCACACAATTTATGCACAGTCAGCACTGCTCTCTCGCAGTCACATTAGTCATACAAGAATGTGAAGATTTTTCCGAAACGATCGACAAATATGCAGGGACAACAATTTGTCCTCCCAGAACATTTTTCGAATACAGTGAGACCAGTCTCATAAGAATCTTACCTTGCGTGACTTCGCTGCCCATAATGGTCTCCATTTCTTTATAGCGATACCGATTAGAAGTGGAACGACAAGAGCAACAAGCGAGCGAGTAATTTTCGCTGCAAAACACAAAAATTAACAATATTCTGCGAACAATAACCAGTGAAACCAAGGTAGGTATCATACCATAAGGAATTTGAATTTTAGCCTCCGTCGAGAAACCCTGCAGAAATTCTTTTCCAAGTATTGAGATCCAAAATGGCATCATTGCTGAAATAGCGCGGTAAAAAATATAAATAAATGTGGAAACCACAGATAACAAAGACAAAATTGGCCACAGTACACATACCTAGTGACGCGAGTGTTGACACAAATGTCATTGTAACTGAGAGATTCACGTTTCCATCTAGGAGTAGGGTCCAAAAATTGGATGCCCCACCACCAGGTGAACACCCTGTGATGAACAGTCCAAGAGCCAACGAAAATAGTCCTCGTGACACAAACACCGTTTTTGCGATGCCGTAGGCGAGCTGAAATATGAAACTCTTTATTAGAAAACGTGAAAAATTGTTTTGTGAAGGTTTGCATGAAGAACGAAGACTAATAATGAATTTGTAAATGATTCAGCACTCACCAAAGGCATAATAACAAACTGAGCAGCGAACCCAATCGCTGGTGCTACAGGTCTTCTTATGGTCTCATAAACTGCACTCATGTCCAGCTACAAAAAAAACTTTGAGAGCTCCGTAATGGATGAAAAAATAGTTGTGGAAGACCGGAACCTCAAAACACTTCCAGTTTTTGAGCTCCACTCTTTCGGACACGGACCAAAAATCACCAAACACTATGGGGAAAAATAGAAGGTGAACCTTATAGCGAGTTATCCTACCTCACATCCCATAAGTATGTTGGCAAATGTGATCAAAACCACAACTGATGCCACAAAAATGTGTGTCCATCGTTCCGAATCCATACTTCTCCTAACCCATACATCCAACAAATTACGCGGGTTGTCGTCCAATTTCTCGGGTACCTTAATCGAATCATACCGGTTGATGGGCGCATGATTTAGAACGAAACACCGCGCCAAAATAAAAAAGTCACCTTCCAGGAATCATCGATGTCGCTCCAGTTCTCTGCGCGTACCAAACGCAATCTCAAACCAGTCTTTCCCAAAGAGTTGCCTTGCACTATCACAGCAGTCTAGAAATGTAAAAAATAAACAGGAAGGGGCTATCCAGTACAAACAACTTACATCCACTGTGTAGAACTGAGAGTCATTGTTATATACGAACGATGACTTGGTAACGTCTGAGTAACTAGGTGAAGCTGCGATGTCCGGATGGAATGATCTGAATGAAGCGACGAATTTAGCTAATATTTATACTTAATAATTTTATATTCATTCATTATACTTATTCATTCGCCTATGAAGGCGCTGAATTCTTGACAGAATCACATTGAAAACTACTTTACACGGCTGAGATATGTAGCCGAAGATTTCCAGAAAACAGTAACCGGAAGACTTCAGGAAAGCATTTTGAACAGTGAGTCATGCACCCCTATGAAGTTTCTGGACCACTTCCCTATTACCCAATGGTATCCCTCTATGGGTCTAATGCGTCTGTAGCCATAACCTTCCACCCCTACTGATTCTTATTTCTGTGAACACTTCACCGATATGCCTCCCTTAATTGCAACGACACCTTACTATTTCTCTCTAACCTGGCTATCTAGTTTAATACAGAATTCAGCA